CAACACTGTCAGTATCAGTTAACAAAAACAAAGATTTAAAAATGAAGACTGATATTTGAAATAATGCCACTGAATTTGAGAGGTTAGGAGTGAAGAAACCAGGCTGTGCAGATGGAAATAAACTTAGAACAAACGTATTAATCACCAGAAAGAAAAGTTTGAAGAAGAATAAATGTACACAAAAGCTCATGCTTTGGCCAAACACAAGAAAAAAAATTAAGAAAAATTAACAGTCTCTCAGAGAGGGTTTGTGAATAATGTATATTGGCCATGCTAATCTTGTTGAACCAGACACAGGTTGTTCTTTATGATCAGTAACTGAATATGTTTACCATGTTGGAAATGTTTGCATGGAATGTCTGTAAGCAATTCAACTCATCTTTTTAAACAGGAAAACAAACAACATCTCAATCCATCTTTTTTTCACAAATGTACTATTATTTTAAAGGCATGTGACCAGGTTTTGAAATTCCTGTCGACAATACTCCATGCCAGACCCTCCAGACCCTCCACCTGACTGATCCGGATAGTCTTGTTCCATAGCTGTTTATGTGACTCTACCAGATCGTATCAGTGTATCCCCAAACACTTAATCAATACAGTAATCAGTCAGAGATGTATATGTATAATAAGGATAAGGCTGTAGCATATTTTGTTGTTGATATTGTAGTTTTCTTTGAAAAAGTATGCAGTTGAATTGAAACCAGGAGTTGACAGAGCATGCTAATGTTAGCCAACATTTACTGCCCAGTGTAAATAGGACCTATCTAATGGGTCAATTCTCTTGTAGCCAACGTTTTGTAATTTTTCCAATATTTCCAATTTGTGAATTGTGTATATATCTGGAAGACAACCATTACAAATTGTGTAATTATGGCATCTGCCCCTATCCTTACCCTTTTTACAGAGAGGAAGACATATATTTTACAAGTGCATGGATAATCTAAATGCATAAGAGTACTCCTCTGAGAAGCAGGAGCTAAAATTTTAAGAATCATGCAAGATAGATTCAGCTATAATCAGTTTCCACAGATCTCAAAGAGGCTTGAAAGGTCCCTGAGGTGTTGGTCCATAATTGGGACTTGGGTGCTTGTCTAATATGCCAGCAGATTTTAGTTGCTTCCCCAGTAGAACAATGAGAGCGTGATTCAATGTGGAAACGACTTACAATGAATGCTAGTTGAAAATGTGAACATATGCTGATAATGTCCATGTCTGGATCAGAAGCTAAAGCCTCTGTGCCACACAAATTAAGGAGATTCTTACTGCTCATGCACTGGTGAGACTGGAGATGGAGTGAAATGTTTAATGTTTTTGTGTTTGTTTGTTCCACATCTCTGATGTGTGTGTGTGTGTGTGTGTGTGTGTAGCGAATTATG